TTAGGCTTTGTTCAATGTTCCTAAGCACTTTTTCCATGTAGGTAGACATGAGAAGCCTCAGTTCATGGCAGATGCTACAATATGTGTAAACTTTGAACTGAAAATATGTGTGCATGGACAGATGCATGTGTTCATATATACGTCTGTATGCACAGGAAGGATATTTGGAAACTAAGCTGAGGCACATTCTTTCTGCTACATGTAATTACTTTGTGGGTACCTGCCTATCATACTCAGCAGTCTTCTGCAACAATGGGACTGGAGCAGCATCACAATTAGTCTTATTGTCTTATCTGTCTGACATCTCTCTCAGAATTAACTGCAGCTTCATAAAACACAGGATCACTTCCATTTAATTCAACTAAACACAAATTTTTGCATCATGGAATGATCTTTATCTTTAAGGTGTGGATTTCTTATACATGGGTGTGCTTTTTGTGTTCATATGGTCATTCACAAAAACTAATCATCATTAAGGTGTTGTCAACTTAAGACAAAGTTCAATGCTGTGAATTGACTGAAAATATTAGTCACAGAAATTTCTGGCTCATATGGCTACACAATATGTGTAATTCTGGTTTTCTAAGACTTGTTTCAATAATTTTGTTGTGATCCTCACAGTTTTGTGTGTGTGTGTGTGTGTTGTTTTGTTTTGTTCCAATCCCCCCTTTTGAGGCAGCTAATAGCCTTATGAATTTAACATTCAAGAGGAACTGTGATATTTTAAACCTTTCTTGCTTTAATTCCGGGTGTTAATATTTTGTTTTCCTGTCTGCTAACAAGCTGGTTCTAACTACTGACAAGACTATAGAAATTTGGATTTTCTCTGACACTTCCTAGTGGACCTACACTTCACATAATATTCACATACAGCACCCAGTGCTGTAGTTTAAAATTATCCATGTCTAACTGAAAGGGAATCTTGTGAGAACTGCAGCAGAACTGTTGCAACTAAGATCTTAACAAAGCCATAGTTGTACACCTATACAGCCACATAATGCAACCATTTCTGTAAGTGGTATCTTCAGTCGGTTTATGATATGCTGGAGTATGGATAGTCCACATCCTATATCCTACATTCCATTCCATGATATAAAAGTTGGTGGCTTACCCTGAGTGCAAAGACCATATAGGTTGTGTATTTTATGCAGATTTATTTCTGAGAGGTAAGTAAGGTAGAGTTTGCAGGTGGGTCAGTAACCTTCACCTTTTCATGTATCTCTAGTCTTATTGTCATTGCAACTGTCTGGATAGGAAAGTCAACAACACACTCAGTGAAAACATATAAGGAAAGTGCAGCTCCCTGGCCTGCTCTCAAAATATGTTCCCTGTAACATCTGGAGATACACATAGAAGTACATTTCTTAAGGTATGAGCTTACAGAAATTCAGTTAAGTACTTCAAGAAAACCCTTGATTTTGGTTAGGAGGGAGGTACTGTACAATATTCTGATAGAGTTTGGGTTACCCATGAAAGTTGTTAGGATGATTAACATGTGTTTAAATGAAATGTATGGTAATGCCTGTATAGTTAAGCATTTGTCTGATAATTTCCCTATCCAGAATGATCTAAAATAAGGATGCACTTTATCACTACTCCTTTTCAACTTAGCTTTAGAATATGCCATTAGTAAGGTCCAGGAAAACCAAGTGGGACTGAATTTAAATGGGACACATCAGCTGTTGGTCTCTTGCTGATGATGTGAATCTACTTGGTGATACTATAGATACCATAAACAAAAATACACAAACTTTAATTGATGCTACTAAGGAGGTTGGTCTAGAAGTAAACACAGAGAAAATTAGGTATATGTTGCTGTCTTGTCACTAAAATATCAGGGCAAAATCATGACATAAAGACAGGTAACAGATGTTTTGAAAATGTGGCACAGTTCAGATATTTGGGAATGATGATAACAAATCAAAACTTGATTCAGGAGTAAATTAAGATAAGACTGAACTAAGGAAATGCTTGCTACCATTCAGTCCAGAACCTTTTGTCTTCCTGTCTGCTGTCTGAAAACATAAAAATTAGAATATACAAAACTATAATTTTGCCTGTGGTTCTATATGGGTGCGAAACTTGGTCTTTGACGTTAAGGGAGGAACATTAGACTGAGGGTGTTTGAGAACAGGGTGCTGAGGAGAATATTTGGGTTGAAGAGGGCTGAAGTGATGGGAGGTTGGATAAAACTACATAATGAGAAACTTCATAACTTGTTCTCTTCCTCGAGTATAATTCGAACGATCAAGTCAAGAAGGATGGGATGGGCAGGGCATGTAGCACAAATCTTGGAGAAGAGGAATGCACGTAGAATATTTGTAGGAAAGCCAGTAGGAAAGAAGCCACTAGGACGACAAAGACATAGGTGGGTGGACAATATTAAAATGGATCTTAGAGAGATAGAATGAGATGGTATAGATTGGATTGATCTGGCTCAGGATAGGAACCAGTGGAGGGCTCTTGTGAGCATGGTAGTGAATTTTGGGTTTCACAAAATGCTGGTAAGTTCTTGAGTGGCTACACAAATGGCTGCTTCTCAAGAAAGGCTCAGCTTCATGAGTGAGTGATTAATTAATACTTTGGTTACAACTACAGTACTGTGTCTCTGGATACTGTCCATCATCCTTTTTTTTTTATTTAAATCACAACGTTTCAGAGACTAGTTTCTGTCTCTGTCTCTGTCTCCACCTTGTAAAATTATCTGAGTAGAATGGTGACTGTTGTATGAAGCTTTCAGTATAAGGCCTTTGGGAACAATATAATGAATCTTGCATTCCATGAGAAAACTGAGATGACTGGAAGTCTTAGCCAATTGAATCTTAACTTGTTCAAATTTCCTAAACTCGCAACACTTCATTTAATTAATACAGGATATCAACCTTCAAAACAAAGACTACATTGTAAGTTTTGACATTGTCAGTCTATTCACCAAGGTACCAACGGGAAAATTTTTACAAGTTATAAGAAATAGACTCAATATGGATCCTTCTTTCCCAGAACGCTCACCTTTACAAGTTGAAAGTGTACTGGAAATTACTGGACATCTGTTTAACAATTATGTACTTCCAGTTTCAGAATAAATTCTATCAGCAAAAAGAGTGTATGGTAATGGGAAACTCACTGTCTCCAGTGGTCAAAATAGTAGTAGATAGAGCAGAACACAAACCTGCTAAATGGTTCAGTTATGTCAACAACACTTTCATGGTTTGGTCATGGGGAGCAGTAAGATTGCAGTAATCTCTTCATCCCCTTGAAGGCATTTGATCTACCATCAGATTCACAATGGAAGCTGAGACTAATGATTCCCTTCCATTCTTGTACATTTGGGTCTTGAAGATGGGTCCTAAATTGGCTGTAGATGTGTACCAGAAACCTACTCATGCAGGTCATTATCTGCACTTCAGATCCAACCACCAGTGTCACATGAACAGGGAGTCTTTCATAGTTTGATCAGTCAAACAAAGGTCATATGTCGGGATCAGAAGGATTTCAACAACGAAATTGAGAACATATAACATGATATGATGCTTAATGAATAACCACAAGAATTCAATCAATCAATCAATTCGCTGACACCATAATGAAGCCATTGAGAAGTAACCACCCTTCAGATATAATATATCAAGGCATTGTCATTAACCCTTATATGAAGGGTATCTCCAAAAAATTCAGATGTATTGGAAATCATTTCAATGTCAGTACCATTTTCAAAATTAAACATACACTCCATGGGACATTGATAAAAACTGGATTGGTTAGAGATGTCCAGCAGACAAAGCAGTGTGTGTACAATATGCCATGTAATTGTGACAGATATTATATCAGTGAAACCTGCAGACCTATAGAAGTACACATTACAGAGCACAAATATAATCTGATACAAGGTCTGCTTGAAAATTTAGAATTAGCTCAACATGTTTACAAAGATGGCGACAAAATATGTTGGAAAGAAGTGAAGGTCTTACAGATTCAACCGAATACCATATATAGGAAATACAAGGAATCAGCCTACATGTTTCTGATAGATCATCCAGTCAGTCAACCTATCTGGACTATCATTTTTGCAGCAGGAGTGAAAAAACTGCAACATAATCCAGTGTAAATTAAATGGGAAAATTATTTTCTTTTGCATTGTACCATACAGAGAATTTCTCTCTCCTTTGATGGCATCTATCATGTTAGTACTCTGGTGATAGACCTCATATGTGTGGAGTTTTTTTGTAATGTTTTCCTTTTTATGTTTTAACTCTCACAGATGGTTTGTGCTGTGCTTGGCTTTTATACCCTATCTTGTGTTGATGCAAGTGTACGGAGATAGGGACTAGCTCTTTTGATTGGGCCCAACTGAGTAGGTTCCATCTGGAGAGAGAGACAGAATCCAGTCTTTGAATCATTGTGCTTTAAATAAAAAGGGAATGATGGATTATGTCCAGAAACACAATACTTATATTAATTTACCATCGTCACTTTAGATCTTAAATGGAATACTTCCTAAACAATAAATTACTAGATTCTAAAGGGTTCTGACAATGGTGTATAACACTCAGACTTACTAATTAATCTATTAACACACTTGGCTCAGAATGGGAATTTGTAGCAAGTTTTTGTGAATATAGTAATAAATTTTCAGGTTCCATGCAAGAGGAAATTTCCTGTTGAGCTAATTGTTTCTTTTGCATCTTTGTTTATTATTAGTTTTTAATGAGGAATTCAATTTTATCCTAAGTACTTCTATAGGAGCCGGGGTAGCATAGTCAGTATAGCAACTGGCTATGGGCTGGATGACTGAGGGGTCGGAGTTTGAGTCCCAGTAACGTAAAGAATTTTCTCTTCTCCAAATCATCCAGACCGGTTCTGGGGTCCACCCAACCTCCTATTCAAAGGGTACTGGGGGCTCTTTCCCCAGGGGTAAAGCGGCTAGGGCGTGAAGCTGACCACTCACTTCCAACTAGTGCCAAGGTTAAGAAAATGTGGATTTATACATCCACTCCCCCATATGCCTTTTTGGAGTAGTGCTTTACATTTTACCTAAGCACTTAAGAAATGTACAGTGTGTCCATATACGCATGAAGAAATTAAAAATTTCATTTGCTGGGACGCATTATTCCTTAAACTCAGATTGGTTTAGTGAGAGTGTCTCTACATATAACCTAATTAGGTGAAGTCAAGTACTATAATCCACCCTGCCTCCACGATGCGAAAGAAAGATGCTGAAGTCTATGCAAGGCATGTTGAAGTACATCTGCCCTCTTGTTCTGTTAGTTACTTTGTCACCTCTTTTTGTGTTAAGTATATATTTTTCTCTCAGGTATTCAGTCTGTGTTATAATTTTCATTCTGAAGATCTTCCTTATATAATATTCTGATAATTAAACGATGGAAATATGTTTCTTTTCCTTCTCCACTGTGTTTCGAAGAATGGCACGATGCAGTCTTTTCCAGAATAATTTTTGGCCTTCTGTATCATCTTTCTTTGGCCACTGTATGTATGTCTTAGTTTTCATGAGGTATTGTAAGGTCTTTGGCCTTTTTATTCTTGGAATTTCCTCAAGAAAGAGTAAGATGAGTTCTTCCCGTCTTGTCTCAAGCAGCCTATGCTGAGCGAGATGCAATTCGAACTGGCACCACTGGCTTCGCAAGAAAGACTGTGAGATAACTAGCAAGATGCATCTACTACGGTCTATACTTGAAATTATATTTTCTAGTATACTGATTCCCACTTGGAAATCACGTTCATGGAGACAGACCCTCACTTTAGATTTGGATTCAAGGTTGGGCAACAAACTGTTGAGTACCCATTCTCGATTTTGATCACTGTATGACATAAAGATGTCATAATTATAAATATAGTCTGTGGAAGAATCTTCTTCATGTGACATGAAACTCAGAACAGTGGCATTTTTCACTAGTATGGCAAAGTATCGAATGTACCACCACTTCCAGTATGTGATACCAACAGCTGTAGTAATGAGTAGAACTGCAGCTACTGCTGCTATTGCCACTTTTTCATTGTTGTTCACTTCAGTCATATCATTATTATTGGTATCATCATCAATACTTTGTGTTGGCTGTTGAATCTCTGCTTTGTCACATGATACATTCTGGAAGGGAATATAGTTCACCTCATCTGAATGAATTTTCTCTAGACATATGTAAACATCATTTTTGTCCCAGTCCCAAATAAAGTAATTTGAGTCAACACTTGGAGGGTAAACAGGTTTAAAACCAGTATTGGTTTGCATGGCACTATAATTAGCACTAATGAACTTCATCATTGTTTCATACATTCGCGGTTCTGGTGCTGGTCCTTTCTCTTCACTGTCAGAACTTTCTGTGGCATTCTCTACCATTTCCAGGAACCTCACACAGTTGCAGTCACATACAAATGGATTAGTTGATATAATTAGAGTTTTCAGGCCTCTAAAATCTTGTAGCATTGCATCTGTAATGTAATTCAAATAGTTATGTGCAACATTGAGGTTTCTCAAGCGTGTGTTGCTGAAAACTGGTTGATCCCAAGATCTAATATAGTTATTACTTAAGTCCAAAGTTTCTAGGTGAGGTAGAGACTCTACAGTCAAACTGGCAATGCTTTTTATATCATTCTTTGCAAGGTTGATTCTTTTAAGTGATGTAAGGTTTTGTAACGGTGTCATTTCAATTGTTGCCTTAAGATGTGAAGAGAACCTAGGCATAACTTTCAAGGTGCACTCTGCTAAATGAAGTTCTTCCAAAGATGACAAACTATTGAATGTACCCGTAGACAAGTGTTGGCCTAGGTTGTTATTCCCTCTCAAATCTAAAACTTTCAAAGTATCCAAATTTATAAAAGAATTATCTTCAATGTAACTGAGTCTGCTGTAACACATTGAGAGTTTCTGTAGTTTTTTACTTGGAGTTTGAAATGTATCTTTGAAAATTTTTCTTAAATTAGTAAACGAAAGGTCTAAGATTGTAAGAACCGGGAAATAAGTGAAATTCAGGCTATATAAATACAATGGATTTTTGCTTAAATCCAAATAGTGGAGCTGGGAGAAAGCAGGAGAATTCAGTGTGTTGAAAGTAATAAGCTGATTATGTGACAGGAGTAGAGACTTCAGATTTGGCAATGCTGTGAATACATCTTTCTCTATGTAATAAATACCGCACTTGCTGAGGTCAAGTTCTTCAAGTTTTGGCATGTAAGGGAACACTTTGTTTGGGGTTTGTAGCACCATCATTTCATAAGCTGATATCGTAGAATTATTCTTCATTGCTTGCAACACTGATGTCTTCCTCCTTTTTAGATGGTCCATGCTGAAATAAATATTGTTTTGTGTTAAATACAGCTGCATACATGAAGGCCTCTATAACTCCACCATTGTCCAGTGTTGCTAATATCTGTGTATATACTGGTGTCTGTATGTAATGAACATAGTTGTCATGACTGATTTTTCTTATTAGGCATGTGTTTTGTTTACTGTGACTACTAAAAAAGGAATAGAAACAGCAATGCATAGAGCAGTCTCTTATGGTTATGGCACTGTAGATAGTTTATGCATACAATAGGCATTCAACTGCTTGTTGTATCACTGAATTAGCATGAACTTACTGTTCTACCTCATCCTTCATAAATATGCTTACCTAAGGCTTTGAAATGTATTGCCATGTAGAGACAAATACTGAAGTGTTCCATTGGTATCCTTTAGAACATCGTATGGTATGTATGTCAGGCCAATTTTAGAGAGTGCAATTCCATGAAGTGAAGATTTAGAAGCCAAATGACGTATTAGATTCAGAATCAGCTGACGTTGGATCTTTGAATTTCCAACGTCAATGGTATGTATTGTTGATTCAACTGGATCCAGTGCTCCTGTAATCATTATATGGATTGATCTCAAGAGAAATTCTAAATTAGTATGATGATTGTGTTTACTATTTTATCCTGTATATGAACAGGAATGAAAGAGATGAAGCTGCAGCATGGATACGTTTTGGAAATGTATCACTGAGTGTCTCTGGATTGTAAATACAGATGACATAATCTGTTTTCATAAGTCTTCTGGTGTGAAAAATGACATACTGATGTGCTTCACAGCCTTTAATTTTCACCCAGCATTATAGAATGAGATGAGCAAGACATGTAACATGCATTAAAGGTAAAGCTATTCCTGTAACAGACCGTGGAGGCCCGTTGGCTTGTGAGACATCAAGGCTTCCAAATTTACTAGACATTCGGCTCACAAATGGTGATGAGGTTGTCAGCCTTATACACCGGCCACCCTTTACCACTAGAAAGATTCATGGTGCTCCTGGCTGAGTCAACTCCAGGGCCGTAGTGCAGCTGGAAGGAGTAGGTCAATTGAAAAATCCAATGACCTCATTGGGAATCAAACCAATGACTTTACAGCTTGTAACATAGTGCCTCAACCAATTATGGTATTGTTGACTGCTGAAAGAAGACTGTTTACTCTTCAGACAATCAGTCAGTCAGTCAGTCAGTCAGTCTGTCTGTCAATGTGCAGTTAGCTAGTTGTGTGCATGACAGAAATGTGTTCCTATAGATTTATTTGTCTGCTTAGATTTTATTTGCTTGGCCATAATTTTTTAATTAGCCATTGTAATTGTTGGTAGCATAGTTGGTTGAGGCACTATGCTACAAGCCAGAAGGTCGCAGGTTCAAGTCCCGATGAGGTCATTGGACTTTTTTTCAATTGACCTAATCCTTCCAGCTGCACTATGGCCCTGGGGTCGATTCAGCCACTAATAGAAATGAGTACCAGGAATTAATTAAATAATTTTCCTGTGGATTAAAGCATGGCTGGCACGTAAGGCTGACAACCTTACAGCTATCTTTGAGCCAATTGTCTAGATAATTTGGGACCTGCAACGTCTCACAATCCTATGGGCCTTCACGCCCTGTTACAGGGATAGCTTTACTTTACATTTTTAATTGTGTAATTATCTGATGCAATTCTGAAAAGAAGTGTTTTGGTAAAATGTAAAAAATTGTGTGAGATACGAGAAAAAGAAGTTCACTTACTTACCATTGTAAGGACCAGGACCAGAACAACAGCACAGGAGAACTAAGCAACTACCTGAAGTTGACGACGTTAGGAGTAGTATATTCTTTTTTATTGCTAGTGGGGTGGGACTAAGTCTCTTGTACTGTGGCCACTTCTGGCCTATTGTACCATCCCCAGATGATAGGTGAAGGTGATTGTGGAGCAATTGGTGGATTGAAGATTGGCAGGGGAAACTGAAGTACTCGGAGAAAACCTGCCCCAGCGCCACTTTGTCCACCACAAATCCCACTTGACCAGACCTGGGTCCGTACCCGGGCCACCGCGGTGGGAAGCCAGCGACTAACCGCTTGAGCTATGGTGTGGCCCCAGGAGTACATATTACAAACTCCTTATTTTTTGTTAAATGGAAATCTGCTTTGCTGACCTTATGTTCGTATCACAGTGGTTAACTGACTTTAAACACATTATACAACAGAGTTATTAAAACTGTTTTAGGAATTATGGTGCTAGTGATAGTTTTTTAGAGTGTCTGGAAATGCTGTTTGATCAGTTTTCCAGAACTTTAGAGAAAATGTATCTCAGTTTCACTGTGTGTGTGGTGGGGGCGTATGAAGTTTCTTATTGTGCTGAAGTTTTGAGAAAGTTATTCTCTGTTTTAGTGATAAGGGAGTGGAGTTTCTTATCCCCTTGAGCAGCATGCTGGCCCTCATAATGGACCATAACCACTGATAGAGATATTTTGTTTCCAGTGTTAAAACAATTTATTTTCAGTAATACAGTAGCAGACTGCAGTTATAGGCAACTGGTATAGTGAATTTGGATTTCTTCCGTTATGTCAGTGTAATGAATACCTGTCTCAATGAACTTTATGTTGCACTTCTGCAGAATCAGGTGCCGAAGTTGAGATCCTCTTAGCCATTCAAATGTGTTGTTGCGTAGATACACAAGGGGGTTCCCAGTCAGATCCAAGGTCATAAGTTTTGGCAGTACTGGTTCCACAGAAGGAGATCTGCCTGAAAAAACAATAACAAAGTGGATGTTGAAAACTGCTCCATGGAGCAGAGTCCTTCTTGAGAGGACAGCTAGTCCATAAATTCCCTGTCATTTATGGAAGCTGAATGTTGATTACTATGTTCATACTCACTGTATGCAATGTACTACTTACAGTATTTACATATTGTAAAAGTGTATGTAACGAGATAAGTGCACAAAATTACACAATATAAATAACTGAACATACCATAGTATTTAATCAAGACACTACTAGTCACTAATTAGAACATCTCAATCACAGACACTCACAGAACTCTATCATATTATATAACTTTATGCACCGTACATAATACCCCATTACTATACATACGTAAGCAAACAGTACACTAATCACACTGCATTATACACACTTCCCCAAATAAAAATTACACTTTAATAATTTTTATTCCCAGAATTATGACATACAAATAAAATACAGGTACTTCCCTAAAGGAAATATACACAATGAAACCAGCTGCATCTCCACACAAACACAAGGGAAACATATTCCTCTAACCCTTGAACTATATCAAACACCAAGTGGTTTTAACAATTTCATCAAAGGCCAGTCACAGTAAGAATCCTCTTATGACTAATATCCATGCTACATCTTTAAATACCCTTAATATATTATAAAAATTGTAAAATAAATATGCATTTTATTGTATGTGCCATTAGCGTGCTACTATAGATAATTAACTCGTCCTCTATCATGTAACAGTGATCTATAGAGACGAAATAAATACATACATACATACATAGAAGTGGATCTGACTTCCACCAAAATGAAATTACAAAATGTAATTCATTAATCTGTATTTATTTTTATCTGTAAATGTTCACTTAATGGCAAACAGTATCTGACCATAACATTTCGTGATTTTAATAAATAAAACAATTAGTTGGCTATAATTTATATAGAATCTCTAAATGTTATGTAGATGGTTAATAAAACACAAAAGCACTTATTTTGGGTTTTAATACATAGATTTTGACTAGAAGATGAAAAGATAGGAAGATTTTGAGCAGAACAGATGCATGCGTTTTCTGAGCTTATACTGTTCTTAATTTTATTATGAATAGTTGCGAAAAATTAACATAATCTGTACCTGGAGATTTCCAGCCTGTAATTTGATTGTATGACAAGTCAAGTGTTGTCAGGTTAACCAGGCCAGCAAAGATAAGATCAGGTTGACTCATTTCTCCAAAATTATTGTGTGTGAGCTTCAGTGTTTCTAGATCCTGAACTCCTTCAAATGCCCTCTCTTCCAGGTGGAGTGAATCCATGTATTCAATCCTTATCTCCTTTGTTCTATACCCCAAGAACTGATGTGAATTAATTTGATGCACATTTCTCATATTCCGCACTGCATACAAGCTCAGTTTATCTGCAGGGACTTGGTTATCTGGTTTGGGCAGTGAGTCCATATACTCTGCAAAGCATGAGTATGTGACACCAGTACCTATAATAGAGATATTTACACATGTTATATTTTAGCTTCCTGTTTTAATATTTTTAACGTTGGACAATGTATATGATAGATACATATTTTAGTTATTTTAATGTGTGAACATGGCATGCAATGAACTGGTTTGACGTGGATAAGTAAGCACCTGAAGATGGCATTATTATGCCGAAACATGTAGTGCGAGGGAGAGAAGGAGAAAAATGAGTGTATGCACTGCAAGACGGATTAAATAAATCATGGACTTAANGAATACACGGAGCCAGATCCCAGAAGACGACTTTATTCAGGAAATATGTAGTTTTAGTTATTTAATCTGCATACAAAATTTTCTGAACTGAATACTTGTATTAATAAGCATTCCCCAAAGTAAATTTGTTCCTAAATTTTTCATGAATGTAGTTTTGATTTCTCATTTTAGTCCAATATTTTAACTATTTCCACAATTTTGGAGGATTTGTTAGCTGTACTTCCATTATTTCGGTATTTTGTCCTCCATTCTGGTGATGAGATGGAGCATGGACTGTTCTGTAGCTTTCTCTGCATCTACTGCCAGACCAGCCTCCTGTCTAGCATCTAATTGAATTTCTCAGTTTTATGATATATTATTTCTGTTTTTGTCCAACTAATCAACACTGTCACCTGTCACGGTAGCCAAGCTGTCTAAGGCACGCACTGTCTTTGCTCGCTTGGAAGCTGGGATCGTGGGTTTGAAGCCCACTCAGGGCATGGATGTTTGTGTGCGTTTTTCTGTGTTTGTCTACAGGTAGAGGCCTTGCGACGAGCTTATCACTCGCCCAAGGAGTCCTACCGTATGCGTAAGATCTAGAAAAACCGAAGTGAACGGAGTTCATGGAGGTAGGCCTAGGCCCACTGGGGCTGTAGTGCCAAGGGAAACGGGAAATCAATACTGTCACCATGAACAAGAGTGACAAGTCCCATTTGGTTCCAGTCCCTCCTGACTTTCTTGAACCCCCTTGATTTTATAGTCTAAAAGAATTTTCAAACCAGTGGGGATATGCAAATTTCTTGTTTCAAAACACTGCAGATACGAAATGTTAAGTTGTACAGACTTTGCTGTACATTTGTTCAGATTTGAAGCTTTATTCTCTTATTGTAATCAGCCAATGTACAGTAACTGATTTGTCTTATATCATATAACAATGATCTATAGAGATGATAAAAATAAATATATGATTTATATACCTCAATAATAATACTAATGTCAGTTGAACTGTGTAAGTAATACACTATCTGTCTTGGATCTTGATATGTCCTTTGGCACTTTGTTTCCAAAGACTTAAATAAGAAATTAAAGAAGAAATAAGTCTGACAGTAGGTTTTCATGTAAATTATTTAAAAATTAATTTTAAGGGATGATAATGGATTATTTGTAGCTTACCATTAGTGAATGTGCAATTACAGAATTCATCCACCTCTCCATATTCAAGATTTTCGGAGCAGGATGCTTGAAACAGAAAATAATCATCATTGCCAATATCCAGATTGGCATCATTGTCCCGGATTTTGAGACGTCCATTAGAATTTATCCACCGCGCATTCTCATTTGCATTCCCTATGGCACACTCTGCATTAGTGCCATATACCATAAATTGTAGCAGAGATGGAATCAGGAACAATGGCAGCATTGACATAGCAGCACAGTCTGAAAAACACATTGCACTTTGTTATGTATGATAAAGATTTATGATATCATTGTTCATGATTGTTACTAGTAAATTTGGCTGCATATAAAAACTTAATTTAAAGAGTGATGATCTGTGCACAAGCATCTGTACAGAGTAAAAGGTAAAGGTAAAATTGTCCCTGTGCTTAATTAATTAAGGACTATGCCATGAAGACATGTGGGGGAGTGGAGGTATAGCTTCACCCCTCTTGACCTCAACACTAGGTGAAAGTGAGTGCTGAGCTTCACATCCCAGACTCTTTACTCCTGAAGAAATTTTCCCCCGTACCCATTTGACAGGAGGTTCAGTGGACCTCAGAATCAGACTGGGCACAATGGAGCAGAGAAAATTTTGCCATCCCAAGAACCAAACCTGGCCCGTCTAGCCTGTAACCAGTTGCTATACTGACTGAGCTATCCCAACTCTATCCCTACACAAACCAAGAACCACTGATCAGATTTTCACGAAATCTGATATTGTGGAGTTTTACTAAAAGTTGCAAACCAGTCTCACTTTGGTTAAATAATAATAAGAAGAACAGATACTTTATGTAAAAACCTACTCACATTAATGCATGTTAAAAATGGGCAAACAACTGTTCACGATGAAGAGCGAAGTTATCGGCCAGCCATCCATAGTGAGTGATGATCTTGTTCAAAGTATTGAACAAAAAAATGCGTGGAAGACAGCGCTTCACAATTTCTGAACTGCCATGCGAGTTTTCACAATCTCTACAAGATTATGACAGGCTGGGCTATCATAAGTTTTGCGCAAGATAGGTTTTGAAAATGCTCATGGATGCACACATAGAAATAACATAATAGAAATTAAGTATGACCCTTCATATGCAAATAAGAACATAAAGAAATGTGATTTCTAGTATCAGTAACTGGCTATGTTCTTCTGGATAGGAAGAACATGAGCACATATAAACAAAGCTACAAGTATTTTATGTAATTATTAAAACATTCAGAAAACAGTAACTTCTAGGAACCATGTAGTATGATTGAAGTTTTATTGATGTTGTGGAGGAATGTACAGTCTCTATTTTTGGAGGTCAAATTAAAGCAAATGGCCAGGAAAGCTTAGTGGGTACAGGGACGCGCTAGGGGCTGGATTTGATTCCTAGCAGGGGTAGGAGATTTTTCTCTACTCTACTACATCCATACCACATCCAGGGCCCACCCAGACTCCTATCCAGTGGGTACCAGGTGTAAAGTAGTAGGGGTATGAAGTTGACCACTCCCCTCCATGTTGTGCCGAGGTCAAGAATGATGGAGCTATATATCCACTCCCCCATATGTCTTCATGGTGTAGTGCTTTATGACTGAAGCACAGGTATAACTTTACCTTTTACCTCAACTTTATAGTCTGAGTTATTGATGATGTCTTAAAATAAATTACAAAGAAGGAAATTCACTTATAATGGAGCCCACGTTCCAATTTTAGCCTGGTTACCTACATCACTTAGGATTATTGAAAAATTATAAAAACATATCAGCAGGAAAACTAATGTAAGATGAAACATTGTAGAAAAATTAAGGATGAAGTCAGATTTTGGACTCCTAAATGTCACAGACCAATTTATAAGATTATGGGAAATTGATTGTAACTCACCAGGTACTTTTCTTCCTCATCCCTTATCTTCATTGTTTATATTTCCATTGGCGCTCTCTGTACATTACTGTCTGCATTTTCACTTATTTCCATTCTGTTTCTGTGACAGTTCACCCATTTAATTTGTAAGTTTTAGTTCCTTACATTAACTGAAAAATAATCTGAAATTAGGAAATACTATTTAAAGAGTTCTTATTTCTCATTTGATGTTATATAACTTTTTAATTAAAATAAAATTGTTCAGTAAAGCAACACACAACTTGGTTTATTTATAGAGCCCATAAAATTAGGTTGTACCCAACATAAATCCCAACAATCCAGACTGATGTTTCTGTAGTTTCTTCAGTCTCCCTCTCACTAACAGAGAGTACAGCAGACTCTGATAATCTGGGATGGGTGGAAATTAATTTCCCTGGATAATCATACATCCCAGATATTCATTAAAAGGAATATGAAACTAAATATATGAAATGTGATTAATAATTATAATTGTGTTTTACTTGAATGTTATTGGTAGAAAAGTGAACGTGATTTCTGAGAAGCAACTTTGCCATTTCTACACATCAAAAAGAAAGACTGAACATAGTTCAGTTTGCAAGTACATATTCAAATGAGAAATAAAACCACCTTCATTTTATACTCATCCCCTGTTGAAAAGTAATTTCATATTAAGTTTATGTTATGGCACTGACACACCGGTCAGTTTTTCAAACAAAGCTCCTTGTTAATCTGCCGCCTGGTAATCTGGAGTGTCCTATACTTATTGCTTGTTCCTCCTTATTCATCATTCACTCATTTCAACCTGATGTGATTCAACTCAATGAAATAAGCTGAGAAAGAAAAGCATTCTCTCTAATATAGTGGAGCCATAATTTAATGATCCCTGGTTGCATCAGTCTGTGATGTAGCAAGTTCCAGTTCTGGTTGCAGAATGTAGTGCAGTTGGCAGATCTTCATTTCACTCCACGTGTCAGTGGATGCAGTCACAAGTTGCAAAGTTCAGAGTACATACAACTATGTGCAGCAATGTAAATTGTCAGCTTCGTAGTCACACCATGAGAACTTTTAATCTGAATGTAGTCATTCTTCAGAAACTAGTCAAGCTCTCCATCTTTTATGGAACATGACACTTCCTTAACATATTTGCAAGAACCCACCACTCGGTCTTCTTCAGGACCAGGTGAATCCAGTCCACACCTCTGTACTTAATTTTTTAATATTCATTCTAATATTATCCTCCATTATACACCTCAGTCTCAAAAGTTGTGTCTTACTTAACATTTTCTGACAAAAATTTTGTGTGAACTTCTCACTTCCCCCATATTGTACCAATGTCATCCTCCATGTTTTGATCATCCTAATAAATCTAGTGAGGAAAATAAATTATGAAGCTTCTCATTATCAGTCCTCCTACCTCACCCTTTCCAGAATAAAATTAATTTTTTTATTTCCTGTTTTTTGCTATATAGCTACAGCAGTAAATATACTAAGGATCTGTGATTTTGTTGTTTTCTGAAGTACATGCATACAAATCCAGGGTCAGTATCTCCAACTAAGTCAGTGTCTCTTACTTTCATATTTCTTTCCTGTTCATCATTCAGTAAACCTCACCATCTGACACTATATAGTCAGTATGATTGAGGAAGTGTCATTAAATAAAACAATAAACACTTCATTCTCACTTCTCAAAGAAATTTTCTGCCTAAGAATTTTTATTGCTTATCCTAGTCTCTCCAAGTAAATGCTGAGGTAGTACATTAAAATAATCCATGGCTGCTTCATTCTGCATATTTCATAATTTTTCATTCACAGTCAACTTCCCAGTCTATCATTCCAAACATTTTGCATCTTTCCTAGTTCATTTACTGTCATTCTTCTCTGTCCTTCAACATCCATCCATGGACATAATTCCTAACTATCCTATCATTTATTGCAATGTAATTCTCCATAAATAATTAAATAAACAGTTTCTACTCACTGATTAATCCCTCTTCATTCAGGCAAAAATTATGCTTGAGATAGTGATATGTTCAAATATATAAAACTATAATCTACGTTTTTATTTCACTGCTTGAAGAACACTTTTAAAATTCTACATATACACAACATTCATTATATCTTGAATAAAATATTCTCAGTAGAAATGTGTGTTTTTTTTTGCAGAATTTATCAACGATGCCTTTGGCTTAAACTCTGACACTGAACTGCAGATTACCATTGTCATGTGTGTGTCCACTTGAGAGATGTGATCTAGAGGCCCCCATATCATTGATTATCATGTGAATAATGCTACCTTTGTGTCTATCACTAATCTTATCTCTGCACTAGAAAAGTAGCAAGATTACAGATTAGTGCATATCCTATCATTATTATCTACCTACGCATTTGAGATACAAGAGTAGTACTCAGTCAATTCATTTTCCAGTTGATGATTAAGATGAATTTATTGTCCATTCATATACTCACAGATTTCAAAACATTGTTTTATATGACTTCATTAATTCTCCTGGATTAAATATTAATAGCAAACTAGTCACAGAGAAATAGCCTTTGAATATGTAAATTAAGTTGCCTAATTGTTGGGCTTTTGTTATGATGGTGATGAGCGATTTGGTTCCATAATAACAAGGCATTTCTTGATCGGTAGAATGCAAGTGAACTGGTGAAATAAGGCTGTGCTATGAAGTCAATCAGTCAATCAGTCAGTCAGTCAGTCAGCCAGAAGGTTAATTAGTTGGTCCCTAGCATAGAAGGTATTCAGAGTCTTACACTGAGCATTTAATGATACAGATATCTTATATACAAAACATTTCATTCAGCGGTCTCCATTTCTGTCTGGATTCCAGTGTCTCCAGCCGATTAGTATGTAGCAATAATGACCCCCTTGTAGTGCAGAAAGAAATCCGTGTTCATCCTCCGGTATATTGATATCCAATTGCCTTACAGATACTCTCAAAATATCTTTAGTTTCATGTAATTTATTCAAGACATGGTGTAAATTTTTACCTGTTAATGAATTTTGCTCAAAAAATGTAATGAAAAAGTTAAAGCAGATGAGATTCAGCAGAGTACCTGAAGCTTTAAATGAATACCATTTCTGCACAAATACACCAATAATTAGGAGCAATGTTGAATACCCAGTGAGAGAAAAGTTAATTTCAAGTCAATTCATCTTCTTTGGTGTAACAATTGGTGTAGGCTTCATCTTATATGCATATCTGATAGTAACTTGGAGAGGGATAGTAAGAGGGAAAAGTTCTGAGCATGATCGTGAAATACTGGTTACATGTATTAATTTTAGACTCACTGGGAATAGTAAGAACATGTTGTGAATGGTAGATAAATAACCTAATTTTTGAAGGCTGGTCAAATAAATTAAAGGAGGAATTGAAAATAAGTAGACTTAGCATGTATTTGTTAAAACCAAACAGAGTTTTATATAAATAAGATATGTGAGTAATTAGCGATATACAAAGACAGAATGTATTTTTGAATATAAGCAAAAAGATTTCCTTGATATTTTACTGTGAAATGAAACACAAGGGGTGTAAAGAAAGCTACACTGATGATAGCATAAGAAAAAGAGAACGGGGATATTATAGCTGAAAGTGATCTGGAAACTAAGAGGGATTAGGAAGGGATGTGATAGAGGAAAGTGTGCCTTATGTTAGAGGGAGGAGGATGCTAAGCACATACTCTTAAAATTCCCTGAAACAAAAAATAGAACTTGAATGTAGTAAATGGTTGAATATGAATGAGGACATAGCATACTAATTACACCTGTCTTAAAAGCATTTATTCTTCAGAACTGGACATGGAGTTTCAACTTTTGTCATTAATTATGGTTATAAATTGCAGCATTCTGTCCCATGTCCTCTACATGTAGTTTTGCGTGGTAATTGCTTCAGATATACAAATGCAAGAAACTGGAAATGTATTTTAATCCTAAAAATGTTTTATACATGATATATATCTACTCAAACCACTGATTATTCATATAACCAATTTTTGAAATTTGAAAGTATTTTTAGTTTCTGAGTCACCACCCAAGAAAATTAAACCATACTTCAAATAAGCAAGAAAGTAATTACTTCTTATAACATGTGGACACATATCCTGAAGAGGTTTAATCATATAAAAAATTTACTGAGTTTGGAGCATATCAAACCAGCAGAAATTAATGTGTGCTACTTTAAAATCAGATCAACAGGAAAGGGGAGGAAATAGAACCTAGTCTCAAAGATTGGTATCCCCTTATAAGCCTACGTGGTGTCATGACCCAGAAGACCACAGTCTGAAAAAGAAGTTAATTTTTCAGTTGATTGGTTTGTTCATCAGGCATTGACTCAGCTGGATGGTTAATGAGGGGAGGGAATAATCTGCTAAGGTCTTCAATCTGTATTGACAAGATGTACAACTTTATCACTCAATACAGTTAGACCCTCATTTAATACTACTCATTTTAAAATTTTACCTCATTTAACAGTCGACTTCAGTGCTCCAAATTCAGTAATCTCAGTGTAAACTTCCTTATTTTAAGGTATTCCTCACTTTGTTGTTCAAATGCACCACTCCAAAAGACACATCAAATGGAAATTTTACACTTTTGTTTTAATTGAAATATTATATTTAGAAATGTGACTTACTCTAGTCGTATTTTATCAGTTGAGGTTCCAACACAGCTGAGCCCAGTGGAGTTTCATGAGAAGTATGTACCACCTCCACCCCCTGAGCCAGGACAACGTAGACTTCCAGAAGAGATAGAAGCTGAGCTTAAAAAACAGGAAAAAGAACTGGAGAAACTTGCACTGATCAGTATTGAGTGAGTATGGTAAGAATGTTGGTGATAGAGTAAAAATTCGCTAGTGGGGGTGGAGTCCACCAGGGTCCACTCGGCATGGCAGCCACTGATTGGCCTATTGTACTTGCCCCAGATGATTATGATGATGGAGAATTTGGTGGAATGAAGATTGGCAGGGGAAACCGAAGTACTCGGAGAAAACCCTCCCCAGCGCCACTTCGTCCACCACAAATCCCACTTGACCAGACCCGGGATCGAACCCGGGCCGCCGCGGTGGGAAGCCAGCGACTAACCACTTGAGTTATGGCGCGGCCCTTGGTGATAGAGTAACATACAGGGCAAGTAGAAGCATGGTGTAATATGACTGAGTTATTCAGCAGAATGTCTCAGTAGTTTCATTGAATGTTTGGTTGAATAATCAATAAGAATAAATGTGTTCATATGTATGAATGAATGAATGAATGAATGAATGAATGAATGAATGAATGAATGAATGAATGAATGTATAAGGGCCCTTGGCCCTTGCACCACGACCTACAATGATCTAATAGTATTGGTGCAACATAAGCCATTCTAGCAAGTCTGTAAATTTATGAATTAAATATCAAAGCATTTTATTTATTTATTTCTATATGTCATTTAATTTAATGTATTCATTTATATGACTCAGCAAATATGTTAACTTGTTGCAGCATCTTATCCAATCATTGCATTACTTTGGACATTCACCCTTGGTTTAGTTTGTTTTCAGGCTATTTTATTGTTCATTCAGCAGAATATAAAATATGAAGGTTTCCATATCCTGCTTATTTGTCTCATTTGGATGTAGCAGCGTGACCAAATGGTTAATCTGTCTCTGTATCCAGAAACAAAACGGCCCATTTCCGGGTGGCAACTTAATTTCCATGCCCACTGATTCAAAAGTCACTGCTCAGTTTTGTAAGTTGTTCAGTAGGATATCAGTTCTGACGTGTGTGAAAGGTAGGGTAACAGTGATGTCTGCTAGTGGAAGTGAAACACATAGGGGCGGGCCTTCAGTTTACTCCTAAACACAGAAGAATAAGTACAAATTGAATTACTTGTGATGGTTCAGCTCGGGTGGCAACGCTACTGCATGCCTTCCTGGGCCTAGTGTACTCTTGTACATGTTCTATATTGTTCATTGCTTTGTGTCTGTTCCCTGTAAGCAGCTGTCATAATTGACCTGTCAAGTGTTATTTCCATATCAGCATTTCCACAGCCTCATTCTAAATGGCGAGGAGTGGAAGCATGCCAGTGTGTGCGTATGTGCGTGCGTGCATGTGTGTACGCACGACATAATCTAGCCTATATAGTAATTTTAGAAGATACATTATTATTTCATCATATATATATATATATATATATATATATATATATATNTTATAATATTGTGACATCACTCGTGAGACCACAGAGTTCACCTGACCCCTACTTCCCGGTGTGTGATTGTAAGAGCGAATGTGCAATAAATTCGATATATCCAATACGGCGTGAAGTTACTTGTCATGTGACCTACCCAACACGTGATAATATTATTTCCCAATAAATGTGGTAAATTATCATAATTCTGTGGCTAGGTACAAACACTCTGTAACAAATATCAGAAAATTTAGGGGAAAACAAGGTTTAAGGATCAGCACTTATATATGCTGTTTCAGAGATTTGTGTTACTGTGGTGATACTTTTCAGCAACTTCTGCCATTGCCTTTCAACCTGATGACTGTGGATACAGTCTTTTCTTATTTGCATTTTCCAACAGCTTGTACCATCCCTCCTGAGTGTAAATATGTAGCACTTACGCTTTCTTCTTTTCTGTAACCTAAAGGCAAATCTTATTACTCCAGTGCATACATGTGCTGTATGTAACATAGATTCAATGAGCCATTGTGGTCTAGTCACAAGTTGGAAGGTTACAGGATCAAATCCCAGTGAGGTAAATTGGTTTTTCAAGTGACATAATCTTTCCAGCCACACTATGGTCTTAGGGTCGACTCAGCCTCTGACAGAAATGAGTACCATCAATCTTCTTGGGGGGTAAAGGCGGCCAGCACATAAGGCTGACATTCTTACCGCTATCTATGAGTCAGTTGTCTAGAAAATGTGGGAACCTTGATGTCTCATAACCGTATGGGTCTTCATGACCTGCTACTGGTAAAGCCCACTTCTTATTCAGTGTTGTAAAGAAAATACTCATAGTAATAGCTTCTCTTTAGTTATAACTGCTGCTTTCTTATTTACTCCTCTTTCTAGTGAAGTTGTTGAAATTTCAGTTAGCTTTATGATTTTGTATGCCTATTAAACAAATAACTTTGCACACAGCAAGCAGACATAATATGGTCTGTTGGAGGCAAAGCAGAAACGATTGCTGAGAAAAGGATCTTCATAAAGTTTTATCTGACAGGTTGTGACCTCAGGTATGCTGGAGGTAAAGAAATTATATCTTGTGTACTTTATCAAGTTGCAGTGTAATTATGAGTACAGAATATGTAACCTAACAATTGTGCAGTCGTAATAAATTTAGATTGGTACAGCCCTAATTTTTCATATGATACTAGGTCTAGTTGGCCTGCTACAGGTACTAAAAGCCAGGTTCTTACAACATATTTTTATGTATTTTTTAAACGGGGTCCATATTTAATATTTTTAAATGCATGTATGTTTTTATCCTTTCAGAACCAATTCTTTCAACATTTTCAAAAGTGATGTATTACAGTTTTATTGCTATGTTATTTTAACATTCAAATTGGACAGAATTTGATAATTGCTAATGTCATTCCATGAATTTGTAGCTATGTTAATAATACTTACGAATATGAATGGTGAAATATTTTGATTTGCAAAGGTGCTGACATTCCGAACAGGACGATTTGGTGCCCTGGGTCTGGCTTCATACCGTTATACCAATGTACCTTATCAAACCTGGGAACTGAAACCAAACCAGAAAGGTGAAGGAATTTCCTTCAGCATTACAGCAGCTGTGATGGTTGTGGAGTTCATTATTAAGGTAATATTTAATGCATAAGTGGAAAAAAAAGGAATTTGTTTGTTGCAATTACCCATCGTCAATTTGCAAAAAAAAAAAACAGTATTTTATCCTTGTGCTTATAAATGAGTGTATATCTCCTTTTGGAACTCAAATATGCCTAAGACTGTATTCTTTAATTTTTATTGTTTTTGAAAACTAAAATTAATGTCAAGCTTCCTTTCCCAAATTGCACAACTTTTTCACAGTTAACAGGGTAGAGATCAGTGTTTGCTGTTAATAAACACAGACTGGACCACGACCCTGATGGCTCTCTGTTCCTCGTCCTACATGCAGGGTGGACTGTGTGCAGTGCCGTAATATTAACCCTTCTCCACAGTGATTATAAATATATATATATATATTCCTCATAGGCATCTTCTCATGGTGACTCTGACCCTTGCAGCTCATCGGTGGTTTGGTACTGCAGGGCTGGACTGAAGTTTTCTTTAAGCTTCCTATTACTGCCCATGAGGAATAGCTGCTTCACTTCTTGGTCCCTTATCATGTTGAAAAGTGCAAAGGCTGCCTCTCTTTGGGTGTAATACTGGGGAAGCCTGTCGAGGGCCAGGTGGGCCAGCTCCTCAATAGCGGCGACAAAGTCTTGCAGAGACTTATGAATCAGCTGGATCTTGGCTTTCAGTTGGGCGCAGTTGACTGCAGACAACAAGTGTTCCCTGTAGCACCCCTCGAGCCCCTCTGCAGTGTTTTTGTACATCACTTTTGCAGGGATGCTGTGCACAAAATTGGCGACTGGTGCCTGCAGGATGGCAAGTGGGTGCATGGCCTTCTCGTGGCCTGTCCAGTTGTGCTTCACCACTGCTTCAAACTGGCAATGGAATAAGGTTTGGTAGATTTACCCTATCCACCTAGTTACTATTTTCCCGTCATCTCCATGCCATGCTCTGGATTTGACTTCAGCCATTCATATTGTGAACTCCCACCAGGAGGCCTCTACCAGGGTCTCTGTTATATGTACATTAAGTCATGATCCTTGGGTCTCCATGTGGGGTTCCTCATGGAGACTCTGGCTCCACTAGTCAACAGATGCCTTCTTGATAATGGTTTCCTTGAATATGGCCTGGGCAGGCCAGATGGCTCTTAATGTGGGCTCCATCATTTTTTTTTTCAGCCTGTATTGTGGCCCTCATCTGTTCTTGCAACCTACTATCCCACTTCTGACACAAGTATATGAAATTACTATGCCATGTGTTGTGGTAGGAAATGGATATTTTCAGCACTAATTCCTTTTATCTAGATGTGATTACAGTTGGTTATTCAACTCCCCTTGCCTGCTTCCTCTTGCTGTCCTCCTTTGTCATCTCCCTGAAATCTTCTGGCATTAATCTCAGTTAAGTTCCTTGTTGTACCACAGTATCATATTCAGTAGCGACTGACTGCCTGACGGATTGAATGACTGTTAAATTGCTGGTCCTTACCAGCACAGTGATTCTTGACTCTGAGTCCCACATATTTTACTGTGTGACAGCTCTGGGAGCCTTCAGGCCACCTCTCGCCAGAATTGCAACTTATCTGGTGTGCTGATACAGCCTTTTGTTGGACCACAATGGGACCTTGTTCTTGACAGTACCTCAACTGTTGTGCATGTATGTGGGTGCATTGTTTCTGATGCTTAGTAAACAGATATCTTTGTGACATTTCTGCAGTTCAAACACTCCGTAGATTTTTATTTTGGTGAATACTGTCAAAGAAACATTATGAAAAATGCTTATAAATAATTCATGTCATTTTCATTTGATTTCAAATGACACCTATTCAGTAACTTAGATAAGTATGAAATTAGTATGACTCCATAATCATATACAATTTTGATACAGTCTACCAAACCTTTAGCAGCAGATTTTTAACCCCTCGAGCGTGACTTTTAGCGGAGCCATTTAAATCCCTAAGAGTGTGCGACGCACCGTCTGCGTCCACTCAAAGCCGTGCTGTAAGCGTGCGCGCCGCATATGTTGCGTCCAAACTTTTCACTAAGAATTCTTAACGCCTACGCTCTGATGTGTGTACTTCCAGTGAATGTATATGTCAGCTAACACTGACTTCTTTCATTCCTCGCTATCTGTTTGTGTGTGGTATTTTTTTTACTCGCTTTGCTTGGGACAAAGCATCTGGTGTCTGCTGCTTACGAAAGAGTTGTTCCAACTCACACTTGCTTACAGAGAGATAATTTGTTAGCTAACTTTCATTGAGTGCTTGTTATCTGTGTGTATTTTTTTATTACTGGCTTGGCTTACTGGCGACAAAGAAGCCGTGTCTGATTTACGATGTTACGAACCTAGGTGTCAAAGTTGGCTGACGCCTGTGTCAACATTTATGAATCTGTTATTCCTTTTCTGCTTCGCAACACCCTCTTATCGGAGCAACATGGCATTTGGTCACGNGGACCTCTGGTCTGGCAACACTGTTTGATGATCTCATTATGTGCTCAACATGATCCTATTGCTGACCACTCAAATTAAAAGCAACACCCACGTTTTATTCTGTGGCTTGCAAATAGATACTTTTAATGTATTTTGGCTTTCTGGTGGTTTGAAGTGTGACAGGCATGTTCAGATACATAAACATATTCTGTATGAGAATAATAATGTCCCTAGGTTATGAATATTATTAGTTTGCAGGCATAAAATTTGATTTTATGCGTTATGAATGCAAGTGCAGATATACGAAGGGGGACCCAAAAATAACCAGAACCGACCTGTTGCGCACGCATGCTTTGTAGTTACGAGTTGTGCTGCTAGGTGGTGTTAGCTGGGGGTCTCCCGCGACTGTTAGTGAGCT